ATATTGCTAATTAAATTTAAGAATTAAAATAAAAAAAAAAATTGATGAATTTATTGGGGCCAATAGTGAAACCCAAGTATGATTCAAGACCAGATGACAGTACTATTCTAAGAAAATTTTCAAGTAGCTGTGGAAATAGCTTAGATCAATCGTACAAACCTTTTCAATTGCTGTAAAAATGTAAGAGGAAAAAGTTGATGCTCGATTTCTGCCAAGAGAAAAAAATTGACATATATTTAAAAAAGGGTTATTCCTTGTCAATTTAAAAAAGAAATTGTTTCGTCTTTGATATTTGCAATAATGTTGAGATAACTTTTTTTTACAATCTCTGCAGGACACTGCCAATCCAGTTCCTCTTAATGAACAGAAAGTTGGTGTAAAATTTAGCTCTTTTAAGATTGTTGGTCTTGTAGGTGAAACCTTAATTTTGGCTTGAAAGTGTAAGTAGCCTGCATTTTATTGTATTCCTTACGGCAATATGACTGCGACATTAATATATTTTCATTTCTACTTACCCATCTCTCTGTTACTGCTTGCTTCATGGTAAATTAGGTAGAAATACTAAACCAAACGTATAAAGCTTTACTTGTTTACTTTTCAAATAGTAATCAACTGGTTGTAAGTGAAGAAGAAAGAACTAATTTATGCTTCAATTTATCACAATGCATAACGATCAAATTGAATATCAGAAAAATCATATTCTACTTCTAAAAAAACTCATAATGGTAAATAAAGCTCCTCTAATGTATTCCTCTAAGTGTTTATCCCAAACTGTCAAATATATTTTATGGAGGATAAACTATGACTGAGAAACAATGAAGGGAAAAAGTTCTTCGAGGTTTGGTGGAATTTATATTTTTGACTTCCTTTTTCTACTATGATGAGAAAAAATAGATCAATTGCAAAATTAATTTGCAGTTTTATCAAAAAGTTTTATGCAAGTGAGTAAAGTATTTTGTTGTGTATTAACAAAACTTTAGCATTTCATGATTTACACACAAAACACAATGTTGTGATACAAATATTAATACAGTTTATTAAACTGTTTTAATACATCATATATACCTGCTTACTGCTGAATATAAACTCCTTGAATTCTAATAATTAGGTTCTTTAGTGCACCCTTCAAAACATCTGCATTTCACCAGACATAAAATTTTATTCTCAAATATATCTATCCACATATATAAGTAAAATAAGTGTCATCGTAAAGGAGAAATGAAAAGTTGGCGATGTATTTACCTCGCATTCCTTCTCTTCGTCTACGTCTTGAATAATATTGAAGTTAGGGTCCTAACAAATATAAAAAATAATTTAGTTTGGAAAAAGACTTAAAATATACAATTTAATGGAAATGTGCAACTTAAATAAATTATGATGTTTGTGAGTAACGATCACATACGGTGAAGGCATTTGAACGTGGAGCATAAGTATATTTCTTCATCAGTTGCTCCTCATCTATAACCTTAACAACACTGTAAATTTCATCTTGCATCTGAATGTTCGAGCTCTTGACGATGACCTTAAACATGAATTTTTTTTTAAAGATATTTATTCAACTCTACGGGATAGGGAGATTCGTCAACAACGCCAGTAATTTAGAAGAAATTTTGCGTTAGAATTTTTTTTAAACAAATATGAACTTAAATTAGAAAAATACCTCAAGTAATCCTTCCTTCATTTCATTTGCGAACTTTTCTATGAGAAACATAGTTTTGCGGTCCCAAAGCAACAGTGAAACAGATCCAGTACCGTCCATGACACTAACCTCAAGCTTGTACCTAAATACATGTTTGATTTGAGATATAAATGTATGTTTTGATGGATTAAGGAAATAAAGTTTCTATTATTAGCTATTCGCCGTTGAGTAAAGTCGATGATTTTCCTTCTCTAGTTGCTTCCAAAAGGTACTACGTTGTCCATTTTGAGAAAACTTTTAGCATTTATGCTCGCACGCTGCTTAATAAGGTTATTCTTGGAGAAATCTAGGACATGGGTGAAGGCAAAAGAGATGGCCCGACTTGTTTAGATGGTACCTTGTAATCACATTATATATCATTGGCTAATAAAAGTACATAATATATATATCAATCTGACAACAAAATAGTCATGTTAAACGGTTTTCAGCTTGATTTTATCACACAATGACTTAAAGATATTTGTTATTCATTGTAACATATGCACATAGAACAACTAATAACTTTAAACAATGGTTGAAGTAATATAACACAAAATAGTTCACTCACTCGCATGGACTCCACTAATTAATCAATTGTTTTAGCTTGAACAACGCCCTTAGCTAACTCATCAGCGGCAGAGGCAGAAACTTTGCTGAGAGATGATTTGAGTCAACCTCCCATAGAAACTATCCCGAACATAAAGTAATCTAAATTTAACAAAGTGTAAAACAGTTAGATTGAAAAAATAGAAATTGAGTATTGATATAGGGAATTTTTTATATTAAACCATTTTCTTAACTCGTCAGATTGAGGAAAATTTGGATTATTCACATGTGTTTACTTTGTGAGAGGTTATTTAATTACAGAAATCTAGGACATGGGTGAAGGCAAAAGAGATGGTCCGACTTGTTTGGATGGTACCTTCTAATCACATTATATATCATTGGCTAATAAAAGTACATAATATATGTATCAATCTGACAACAAAATAGTCATGTTAAACGGTTTTCAACTTGATTTTATCACACAACAACTTAAAGATATGTGTTATTCATTGTAACATATGCACATAGAACAACTAATAACTTTAAAGAATGGTTGAAGTAATATAACACAAAATAGTTCACTCACTTACATGGACTCCACTAATTAATCAATTGTTTTAGCTTGAACAACGCCCTTAGCTAACTCATCAATGGCAGAGGCAGAAACTTTGCTGAGAGATGGTTTGAGTCAACCTCCTACAGAAACTATCCCGAACATAAAGTAATCTAAATTTAACAAAGTGTAAAACAGTTATATTAAAAAAAATAGATATTAAGTATTGATACATGGAATTTTTTATATTAAACCATTTTCTTAACTCGTCAGGTTGAGGAAATTTTGGATTAATTCAAAACTATGATACATTCGAAGTATACAACATATGTTTAAGTTGTAATGAAATAACCTCTCACAAAGTAAACACATGTGAATAATTTAATTTTACCTTAAAATTTATGGGCTTTTATAAGCTGCATAACAACAACGATAGACTGGTTGCTAAAGCTTGTCAGATGAAGTACAATTTGATCAATAATTTTCCCCAGAATGTAGCAGCTCTCGTCCTGCCAAATAGAAAGATAACTTTACCATATGTAATTGCCAAATTTATCCATAATCAGTAAATGAATGTTTATTCTTACTCAACATCTTTAAGTTCGGCATTCATAACCTTTCTAGAAATCTCATCTTATTTGTGCGTTTGGACGAGGATTTCTCCAATTACATTTAAAGAATTACTAAATCGCAGAAAATATAACAATTAGAAATTTACAAATAACAACAACAACAACAACCCAGTTTGGAGAGGGTAGTATGTACTCAGACCTTACCCCTACCCCGAGAGAGTAGAGAGATTGTTTCCATAAGACCCTCTGGCTCAAGAAGACGAAAAGAGACAATATCAGCAGCACCAATTGAAACCATAGAAAATAACATCATGAAAATGAGAAAATAATAATTAGAAGTTTACAATGAACGTTATTTTTACCGAATAATTTAGGCTCGTTCACATCAACTTTATTTATCAATTGATCATATGGTGCCAGATTATATGTGTTCTGAAATGATACAGCACTGACTTGCCAATAGAAGCATGTATTCGATCCCCTTACAAAAAAAAACATATTACATACATATATATATAGAAATTAAAAAATACACGAACAACATAACAAAAAAAAGAGCTTTGCTGATATTATCCACCTGAAAGTATTAAATGGTTAGTTCATTTTTGTAATCTGTCTCCGTGAAGGCATCATCAATCATATTCAATAATAAGTCATAATCCCTTATTTTTATTACATAAACCAGTAGTTCATGAATCTCCTGGCACATTCTTTCATCTCTAAATACAGTACTAACTCAAACACATTTTTCCTCTCATTATTATATAAATCTGAAGATATGTATTGTTTCAATTGCATTTACAATTACGAAGTCTTTATTTTCCAAAAGTGACTTCCTGAACTTACAGTAACATCAGTAAAAGGGGTAGCATCTCCTTGCTTTCCCACGTGAGCAGCAACTTTCCCCATAATACACTCAATGGCTGCATGGAATAAAGAAACAATTTCGTTTCACGTCAAAGCAAACTATGCATATGTTTTCATCATAGAGTTCTTCCGATGAACTACAACGTCTGCAATTTCCAGATTCTAAATCATCTTTGTCACATGTTCCATAAATAAAGATGAGCTTGCTTTCGAAATTAATCTGTCTGTCTCTCTTCTTACTGCATCATTTCTTGCCATTTTACGGTCACAAACTCCAAGTAATTTGATTAGCAATGCAGCAACCATCAACAACACCACTTAAAAAAGATTCAAATTAACATGTCAATTTCTTACAGTAATATTAGCCCATGATATTTGTGTAATAACATTGAGAATGTACTCGAATGCAGCCTGTCGTTGATCTTGATCTCCCTGAGATATTTCAGCAAGATTAAAAAAATCAGATAGATAGATGTTGAAAAACATAAATTAAACAAATAAATAGATGAGATGATTATACATTTCAACAACATATTCAACATATTATCTGGAAATTCATAGCATAATCATGATATGTAGGCGGAGACAGAGATTATAGGGAGAAATAGGCGTCGGCATCGTGGAGTAGTTCTGTTTCAATCGTGCGTTGGCATCGTGTGTTGTGGTTTTGGAGAGGATAAGGAACGTGGGTATAAACTGATTTGGACTCAATAAAATGTGTAGATATAAACTGCTTTGGAAGTTTTAAAGTTTTTGAACTTCTTTTAACAAAACCTTAAAACCGTTTTCTTTTAACACGTTTAGTCTTCTTTTTTAGTTGGTTATTAGTATTATTAACCACGTTCATTTATTGATTGTTAAACAATAAATGTAGCCACGTTCTTTTTTTAGTTGGTTTTTTGTACCCACGTTCATTTATTGATTGTTAAATAATTTTTAAATAATAAATTCTCACATATTTAGAAGGAAATCTGAAGAGGCTGATTTGAATTAATTATGCATTAAAACATAATTGGTAAACGGTTATGTTGTGATACCCAGTTGCAGTTAATTATTTTGACCAACTTAAAAATTAAAATATAATTAAAAAAGTTAATAGTTACCGGCGGTTTTGCAACTGGTTTGTTAACAAATCTGAAAAATCACTGTAAACGAATAATGGTAATTAAATTAGGGTATCGTTTTTTTTCCCCTTAAATTGAGGATTCTTGTCCTAATGTGATATATGTCTTTACCGTATTCTGCCCCTTGGCTAAACGTGGGGCTTTTATCCCCTTGCTTTTAATTATATATAGATTAAATTATTTATCCCTTTCGTATACTTTTTCCTTATTAATTTTTTAAGATAGTAGTTAAATATATAAAATTATTATCTTATTTTTTTAAAGTACAATGTGTATTCTTTAATATGTTTATAATATTCTTGCGACGCTCAAAAGAATTATGAAGTGTTTGATTTTGTGATTGGCACGTTTCTTTAAGATTGTTCTTTCCAGTACTTTAGAATTAAATAATTTTAATCTTTCTTGAAATATTTTTTTATTTATGTCAAATTTTGAAAATTGAAATCAATCTGATTACTTCTTGAAACAATATTTTCCTCTTTTACTTATTTTAGGAATTTCAGTTAAAAAAAAAAACTACTTTGTATCATATCATTTTTGCAATCCTCTTAGATACATTGAGATAAAAAAAATAAAAAAAATAAAAAAAAATAAAAAAAAAAAAACTCAAGACTTTGGCTAATAATTGAGATTTGAAATCATTCTCTAGGAATAAATAAAATGTTTCTTCAAATAATAACAAATGGTAAATAATCTTAGTTTCATAGTGTTTCTTCAAATAATAACAAATGGTAAATAATCTTAGTTTAGACTATGAGGATTTATGCAGACCAAAGTTTATTACGTTATTGATTTAGATAAATGAATTAATATTCTCATTTTAAGAATTTATATGATTTCCTTTAACGTCTATTTATAACAAAAGATATAATTTTTAAAATTTCTTACTCAATGCAGGACACACGATAACACAGATAGATTAGATTCTATATTTTATAGTATATTCAAAATACGAAAACCGTTAACAAAATACTATTCACATTTTTTACCCTTTAAAAATAGATCTGACATTACATAAAAATAATTATTTATTATTGTCCTAATATTTAAAAATAATAATAGACATTTAATATTTTTTAAATATTTAAAAATTTGAAATCAACTAGATTTTATTTATTAAATCCTTTGCTATTTGAACTATGTAAATAATAAATCTATTGTAGGCATATAAATTTTATTGAAATTAAATCCGTAAAATAATTTAGACT